TCTTGACTCCTGTAAGTTTCCTTTAGATTTAGTTTGATGTTTGCTATTTCTCTGACCAGTGTCACCTTACGTATTGCAGATATATTGGCCTCTTGTAGCTGCTCTGTTATTCGTTGCCTTCGCCTGTATAAGGGAATAAGCCTTTAGTATACCTCAAGTGCCACAGAGTTAATTTGTTGTAGACATAGGGTAGGATCTGTGTTGCTTAGTCTATCTTCCCAGTTAATATTTAGGACTTGGTTTACTTGGTCCCACCTCATGTTTTTGTTATTGAAGTGGAATTTAGTGAAGGCCCACTCGTGACTGGTCATATTTTGTCGGTCTGGGGCTCCCCACATACATGTCTGGACCTCAGTTATGTTGTGATCTGAGTATATTGTTTTTGATACGATGACATTTCATATCGATCATCATTGTTAGTGAGGATGAGGCCCAGTGTATTCTCCAATCTTGTAGGCTCTATTATTTGCTGGTTTAAGGTGAATTTGGTGCAGAGATTGAAAAGCTCGTGTTTGTGTGAGTTTTCATCTGAGCTGCCTCCTGGTGTTATCTCTGCTACAGCATTATTTGCTTCTTCTTGTTGATTCGCCGGTACTTCCGGCCTGGGTCTTCTCCAGATGGTGACCCAGCGATTATTTGCTATATTCCTCCATTTTAGGTGCCTTAGGATGAAATGATGAAATCCCCCAGGAGCAAGATGTTGGGGGCAGGAGCTGGAAGATTTTTCCAGAGAGTGGTCAGTTTTCAAAAGCTGTTCCTGGAATTGTTGAGACATTGCATCTGGAGGCTTGTATACAACCACATTGACCAGGTTTTGGGTCTCAATCTTTACTGCTAAAACATCAACTACATCATTTGAGGCAATTAGTAGTTCTGAGCATATAAGTGACTCTGTGATATACAGGCCAACCCTCCTTTCCCCCCTCCTCCCTTTTGCCTGTTCACTCTGTCACATCTGTATAGGTTGTAATCCGGGACCCATATTTCGTTGTCCAAGTGATCCTTTATGTGGGTGTCTGTGAAAACCATGAACATTGCATTTGACTCCGTAAGCAGTCCACGGATGAAAGGTATTTTGTTATTCATTGCTGGCTTTAGACCCCTGTATATTTGCAAAGATTTGCCAGAGGTTTGTTGGTAATTTTCCCTCTTTTATTCCCTATGCATGGAGGGAGGGCATTGAATAGTCATGGACCTCTGACACTCAGTGAGTTCTCTCTTAGTGTACTTTTTGCACCCCTGCTACTTATTGGAGGTACTTTGCACTGTTTACAAAGTCTTTATAGATGGTAGGTAAGACACATAGGCAACATTTAGGCAACATGTCAGTGGATGGGTCTATGAAAGATGAGGTGAATTATAGAATTGATGAGGGGAAAAGGGTGAGTGGTGCACTTAGGAGTCTGTGGAGACAAAGAACTTTGTCCTTGGAGGCGAAGAGGGGAATGTATGAGAGTATAGTTTTACCAACGCTCTTATATGGGTGTGAAGCATGGGTGATGAATATTGCAGCGAGGAGAAGGCTGGAGGCAGTGGAGATGTCATGTCTGAGGGCAATGTGTGGTGTGAATATAATGCAGAGAATTCGTAGTTTGGAAGTTAGGAGGAGGTGCAGGATTACCAAAACTGTTGTCCAGAGGGCTGAGGAAGGGTTGTTGAGGTGGTTCGGACATGTAGAGAGAATGGAGTGAAACAGAATGACTTCAAGAGTGTATCAGTCTGTAGTGGAAGGAAGGCGGGGTAGGGGTCGGCCTAGGAAAGGTTGGAGGGAGGGGGTAAAGGAGGTTTTGTGTGCGAGGGGCTTGGACTTCCAGCAGGCATGCGTGAGCGTGTTTGATAGGAGTGAATGGAGACAAATGGTTTTTAATACTTGATGTGCTGTTGGAGTGTGAGCAAAGTAACATTTGTGAAGGGGTTCAGGGAAACCGGCAGGCCGGACTTGAGTCCTGGAGATGGGAAGTACAGTGCCTGCACTCTGAAGGAGGGGTGTTAATGTTGCAGTTTAAAAACTGTAGTGTAAAGCACCCTTCTGGCAAGACAGTGATGGAGTGAATGATGGTGAAAGTTTTTCTTTTTTGGGCCACCCTGCCTTGGTGGGAATCGGCCAGTGTGATAATAAAATAAATAAAATATTCTGAAACGTTTCACCTACACAGTAGGCTTCATCAGTCGAGTACAGAAAGTAGGCTGGAGCAGTAGAGATGTGAAGACGATGTAATCAGTCCATCACCCTTAAAGTCATAGATTTAAGGTTGTTAGTCCCTCAGCCTGGAGAAGTTCTGTTCCAAAGTCTGGAACTAACTGAAGATCAAGTGACAGTGTTGAGACTTAAATACTGTCGGAAAGAGAGGTGCAGAGTAGTAGTAGTAGTAGTAGTGAGATTGTAGTCACTGAGAGGTCATGTCCCTCTCAGAACAAACGGTTCTCACTTGAAGAAGTTGTCCAAGGTGTTTTCTCTTCTGTACCAAGATGCCATTGTGTTGCAATGTCTGACAGAGTGAATATCAAAATGGTATACAATGCCGACAGGTTGGTAGGTAAGACACATAGGCAACATTTGGCAACTTTATTCTGAAACGTTTTGCCTACACAGTAGGCTTCAATGGCATCTTGGTACAGAAGAGAAAACACCTTGGACAACTTCTTCAAGTGAGAACCATTTGTTCTGAGAGGGACGTGACCTCTCAGTGACTACAATCTCACTACTACTACTACTACTACTACTACTACTACTACTACTACTATGCACCTCTCTTTCCGACAGTATTTAAGTCTCAACACTGTCGCTTGATCTTCAGTTAGTTCCAGACTTTGGAACAGAACTTCTCCAGGCTGAGGGACTGACAACCTCAAATCTATGACTTTAAGGGTGATGGACTGATTACATCGTCTTCACATCTCTACTGCTCCTGCCTACTTTCTGTACTCGACTGATGAAGCCTACTGTGTAGGCGAAACGTTTCGGAATAAAGTTGCCTAAATGTTGCCTATGTGTCTTACCTACCAACCTGTCGGTATTGTATACCATTTTGATATTCACTATTTGTAGATGGTGAATAGTATCTCCAATAAAAGCAGGGGAACTATAAAAGAACTGATACTAGAAGCCCCAAACTTTTCAGTACCTTCCCTTTGTGCATAAGAGAAATACAGTGGACCCCCGCAAAATGATCACCTCCGAATGCGACCAATTATGTAAGTTTATTTATGTAAGTGCGTTTGCACGTGTATGTTTGGGGATCTGAAATGGACTAATCTACTTCACAATATTCCTTATGGGAACAAATTCGGTCAGTACTGGCACCTGAACATACTTCTGGAGTGAAAAAATATCGTTAACCGGGGGTCCACTGTAACCAACAAACTTTTGGCTGTCTTCAAGAGAGAACTTGAAAAGTTCCTCAAGCTGGTACTTGACCAGCCAGGCTGTAGTTCATGAGTTGGCCTGCATGCATCCAGTAGTGTCATCGTTTTTCATTAGTCCTTGATCTAAATGGAGGTCCTCTCTGGGATTGGACTATGGGGATATTGACTCCCGAAAACTTCCTTCGGGTATCCTTCAGCTTTAAAAATTAGCTTGTATAAGTCCATAGATGGGTGTAGTAGGTGTGAGTTGTACCTGCCTAGCATGGGCCAGTAGGCCTGCTGCAGTACCCCTCTTTTCTTAAGTTCATGTGAATTTATACTAGTTTATATTTATATAAGGTTGTGATCAGAACATATTGTTGTGGTGGAATTTATTCCTACCACCTCCCCCTCCTCCCTTGTGATGGCTGTGTGACTCTGAGGTTACCACATTGGTTATCTCCCCTCTACCAAGTGGGGGGATAAGGGGACTTTTTTGTAATGGCCTTCCCTCACCTCAGGAGAGACCATTGAATGCTATACCTCTTCCTTCTTTCCGTATCTGAATCTTAATGGCTCAATATTAGAAATGAGATCTATGTCACACCAGATCTGAAAACCTTAAATTTGTGGATGTCATAGTGACTGACATTCTTACATGTCAGGAGCACTTAATTGGCTCCTTGTTGCCAGTATTAACAACTAAGCCCAAGGCAGATCTTGCACTTTAGTCATCTAAGTTTAAATGCCTGTGCAGTCAGTTTTGAACCTAGCTCCATGTAAGTAAGACACACATGGCTGTGTGTCCTGCATGGGAGTACATGGGGCTGGGCTTCTAATTCCAAGACAGCTAATTTGAGGTGTGCTCCAGTATCTACTCAAGAACGGGCGAGTGAAAGTATCGAGACTAATTTCAGTGATTTAGTAAACCTCTGGCCCTAAGGTGGAGTCTACATCAGAGGAGTGAGCTGTGACCTTGTGAGTGTTACTAGTGGTGTGGGTTAAACTTAAGTGTCATCTATAATGATTTGTTGACATTCAGATACATTGACTGCTTATCATTCAGCAGGACAGATGTTAATGAGTGTCTTGTACTGATGTCTCTAAGCACTACACCGAGTCCCCAGGTAGAGAAGACCTTGGGTACATATGCTCATTTCCCCACATTTTTCATTAAGTAGATTGCAATCCGTAATTTTGTGCAAGGAAGGTAGGCACCTAATTGAAGTACAGTGGAAGCTTAATGGGAGTCAGTCCCAGAGCTGATCAAGTATCATTTGCCACATGTAGTGTAAGCACCTACTTGTCAGTTCTATGCTCCTTTCAGTGACTAAGTATGCTGGATTAGTCTGTCTGGTGAAAGATCAGGTACCAGGGGTCATCAAGGACATCATATTAATAGGTAGCCAGTGTCTGGTATATGTACTTGATTTGACAGTCTTGCTGTGGAGGAAATAATCACCATGTTTAGAGTTTGTGTGGAAGCTGGCGGATTCTCAGCGATAGAGCTGGCTCTTATTAACAGAGTCAGTCAACTACATCCATAAGAAGAAAATACTCCACAATTGTAGCATATTTGAGATTGTTTTGTCTCAGATTAGTATCTTATTGCTCCTCATTATTGCCAACTGACTAATTTTTTATTATTATTTCAGAATGGGTTGAATGCTCTGCATCTGGCAAGCAAGGAGGGCCATGTGAACGTTGTGAGAGAGTTATTACAGCGTGGTGCCAATGTTGATGCTGCCACAAAGAAGGGCAATACTGCTCTACACATTGCTTCCCTTGGTAAGAGACTTGGCATTTTGTACTCAAGGTATTCATGTGGCCATGGATGATTTATGTAAAATATTTTTTTTTATAATAAATGTAATTGAAATGTTTTAATGTATAAGATAACTGGGAAACCTGAAGGTGTTTTTGTTCGCCCATTATATGGGTGTGAAGTATGGTTTGTAAATGTTGCAGCAAGGAGGAGGCTGGAGGCAGTGGAGATGTCATATCTGAGGGCAGTGTGTGGTGTGATTATGAAGAGAATTTGTAGTTTAGAGATTATAAGGGTTACTAAAAGTATGATCTAGAAGGCTGAGGAAGGGTTGTTGAGGTGGTTTGGACATTTAGAGAAGGTGGAGCAGAATAGGATGACTTGGAGGGTGTATAAATCTGTAGTGGAGGGAAGGCAGGGCAGGGGTCACCCTAGGAAAGTTTGAATGAAGGGGTAAAGAAGGTTTTGTATGTGAGGGGGCTTAGACATCTAGCAGGTGTTTGTGTGTTAGATAATAGTGAGTGGCAGCAAGGTTTTCATGACTTGACATGCTGTTGTGGTGTCAGCAAGGTAACATGTGTAAAGGAATACAAAGAAACTGGTTAGCCAGACTTGAATCCTGGAGATGGGAAGTACATTGCCTATACTCTGAAGGAAGGGTGAAAGCATTTCTTTTTTCTCAGGTCACCCTGCTTTGGTGGTAGATGGCCTGTGTTTAAAAAAAAAATAAGATTTCATTCTCAAGAGGCACTTTTATTAGGACCCTTGAGTGGGGGTCTATTATCGTTGTGATGGGCTCGTGCTCTGAGGATCTGGAGCTGATTTAAGTACCCCCTTTTCTTGAATCAAAACTGAATAATGCACCCTTACATCCCCTGGAATTTTTTATTATATTGTGATTATAGTCTTGATATGACTTTTGCTCTTTTAACTTAAAACTAATTATGAATTTTGTTTGTGGAATATTATTCATGGCCTTTGAATTCTTTTGGTTGAAATCTGACATCATATGTAATATGACATCAAATAACTTACAGTATCAGCTAACTGGTAATGATTGTGAAGAAGTTGTTATGCTGTGTAAATATGCTATGCTTTTATTCCAAAAAATATAGATTTTTTTTTTCAACAAGTTGGCCGTCTCCCACCGAGGCAGGGTGACCCAAAGAGAAAGAAAATCCCCAAAAAGAAAATACTTTCATCATTCAACACTTTCACCTTACTCGCACATAATCACTGTTTTTGCAGAGGTGCCCAGAATACAACAGTTTAGAAGTATATACGTATAAAAATACACAATATATCTCTCCAAACTGTCAATATCCCAAACCCCTCCTTTAGAGTGCAGGCATTGTACTTCCCATTTCCAGGACTCGAGTCCGGTTATATAAAATAACCGGTTTCCCTGAATCCCTTCACTAAATATTACCCTGCTCACACTCCAACAGATCGTCAGGTCCCAAATACCATTCGTCTCCATTCACTCCTATCTAACACGTTCAAGCACGCTTGCTTGAAATCCAAACCCCTCGCCCACAACACCTCTTTTACCCCCTCCCTCCAACCTTTTCGAGGACGACCCCTACCCCGCCTTCCTTCCCCTACAGATATTTTCTAAAAAAATTCTTATGCATTATAGATATACAGTATTTTTCCAAACAAATGTGGTATGTATATATATTTCTAATTTTGCACCGGTCTTTCTGAGCAACCTCAGCAAATCTTCCTAAAATATATATACATACAGTACATAATATATAAAGCACATTAATCTTATTTACCCTATCTTGCATCAACCAAAATTTAGTTTGTTCCACTTTACGTATTTTAACGACATTGCAGTACTGTTATGTTAATTTTTGTTGCTCAGCATGATTTTTGTAAGGTCATTACAACTATGAATTTTCTTTGGACTTGTTTGGCAAAACAAGTGCTCATTTATAAACCAAGACTGCAAGATCTTCATTTTATTGTCTAAGTGTTAAGTATTTTGTCATATGTTGCAGCTGGTCAGGAGGAGATTGTAAAGGTCCTTGTACAGCATCAGGCACTGGTGAACATTCAGTCTCAGAATGGATTCACTCCACTCTACATGGCTGCACAGGAGAATCATGACTCAGTCGTGCGATTCCTGTTGGCCAACAATGCTAACCAGAGCCTTGCTACAGAAGTAAGCTATGGCACAATTTCTGTTTACTGTATGCATGTTGTAACATTCACAATAATAATAAATAATAATAATAATAATAATAATAATAATAATAATGTAACTTCTCTTACTCCTGCTTAGGGATGATGGAGATATCTTTATAATAAATTCCATTTCTCTTGGGCATGAGATAAGTTATCCTGAGAGATGGTAATTCTCAAGTGGTAGTAACTCTAACTGCTGGAATGAAACCTCTCCAGCTCCCGTAGCCGATGAACCTCTAATGAAATATAAACTCCATCCTGTGTGATAGAATATGACAGGGAAACATAGCTTTTAGTCCAGGGGTGGCACCAAGGGGATTTATGGGAGGCTTCAGTCTTCCCAAAAATTCTGTCAGCCCCTAAGCCCCATTAGTATAGAAATTCTGGCACTGTCCGTGTTTTTGTTCTCACTATGAAGCTATCCTATTAACTAGTGTTATAGCACACTAACAGTGTAATACTTTTGTAGTATGATATACACATATACTGCTAGTACATTTATAGCCTGGCTCCCTGCCAAGCCTCGCTGCATCCTGCATGTGCACCGATAGATTTCTTCCTCACTTCTTGATAGACCTAGAGACAAGGGGACAGGCAGGCTGGGCTCTCCAAGTTTTTACCAATAATAATGCCTCACATAACAACCATTGGTGTATCCTTCGCTACCATTCTCCCTTCCAAGAACCCCATGACAAGCACACTGCTTATGTATTCGGTTTTGCTAAATAAAAAAAAAGGCCACACCTCCCAGTTGCTGGCCCTGATTGACCAGGACCTACTAGCCATAAACAGACTAACTTTATGCACCATAGCCTGGCTGATCAGAAACCAACTTGAGGATCTTACCAAGTTCTAACTTGAAAACAGCTATGGGCCAAAGTTCTTGCATTGTATTAGAAAAAATACAACAGTTGATAAAAATGTTTGTTTTAAATAAGAAGAAAGTCATAATATACATATTTTTTAATTATTTACAGTATACGTACAGCACAGGGAGTCCTTGCTCTTATGAACAGTTATGTTCTTTGATACATTTTATAAAGCTAATTTCTGTATATAAATAAAAATTTTGTAATTCAGTTTACTATTTCTCGTAGGTGCAAAGTTATACAGTCATACCCTGCTTTATGTCATTTCAGTTTATGGCAAATTTGCCTTTACACCACTTTTCTAGGGTAAATTTCAGTTCAATGAATGTCATTATGTCCAACTTTATGTCACTCAGCATCATTGCTTATGTCATAATATTTTTAATTGTGTTCATTATTCTTTAAAAAATACAACTAAAATGTGTTTTTGGTATTTTAAGGTTTAGCAATTATTATATTCTTTTGCGAGTTATTTACACTAGTTTTATGGTGTATGTCATCATTTTAAGGCATTTCTAAGGCATTATGTCTGGTTTGTCAAAAATCGGGTTATGTCACTGCTCTTGAAACCGAATAATGACATAGGACAGGGTATGACTCTACAGTGGAACTTTGGTTTTCGTATCCCCTAGTTTGTGTGTAAAACTATAGTTATTCTTTATAAAATGTAAAACCAATTAACCCTTTCAGGGTTTCCGACGTACTAATACGGCTTACACACCAGGGTTATTGACGTACTAGAACGCCTAAATTCTAGTGCCTGCAAATCTAGTGAGAGAAAGCTGGTAGGCCTGCATATGAAAAAATAGGTCTGTGTAGTCAGTGTGCACACTATAAAAAAAATCCTGCAGCACACAGTGCATAATGAAAAAAAAAAAACTCTGACCGTGTTTTTGGTTTAAAACAGCGACTTTGCAGTGTATTTTCTTATGGTTTTATGGTTGTATTCTAGTTTTCCTGTCTCATTTTATAGAATGGAAGACATATTACAGAAATTGAGATGATTTTGATTGGTTTCATAATGAAAAGTACCTTGAAATTGAGCTCAAACTAGCAGAAATGTTCAATTTTTACCAAATTTCAAAAGTAAACATATCATGCCAAGCATCCAATACATGTCAGCTGGTGAGTCTGATATTCTTTCACAAGTGCACTGATATTATTTATACCATTTCTACACCATTTCTATACTAATGCAGTAGTCTGCATAACAGTAAATCTTCTATTTTTTATGAGAATAAAAATTCGAAGTGGAAAGCAAAAGAGATGTAAGAAGGGCCTGGGGATGTGACTAATGAACAGAGAAAATGTTATTTTAGTGCCAGGAATGTTTGTCTTGCTTATTCTGGACCCTATTTGGAAATTGGCATCTTCTGAAATTTGTGTGAAATTGGCAAAATTGCCAATTTCTTACCACTTTATTGGATAGTTGAAATCGGTAAATGGGTAGTTTCTTGTACTCATTCGATAGAAAAATGGAGTTCTAGCAAAATACATATGATTTTTGTTGACTAGTACACTGAAATTGGCTGAAAATAGGGCTCAAAGTGGGCGAAATCGCCGATGCGTAAACATCGTCGAGACTGCTAACTTCGCGAGAGCATAATTCCGTAAGTTTTCCATCAAATTTCATACTTTTGGTGTCATTATGATCGGGAAAAGATTCTCTATCATTCCATAAGGAAAAATAATTTTTTTTTTCCGAAAAATTTTCGACCCTGAGAACGAATTTAGGAGAGGGCCTCTCGACCCTGAAAGGGTTAATCCATTCCAGACACCCAAAAATATTAACAAAAATAACATTTTATAGAGAATAACTATAGTTTTACATACAAACTAGGGCATACAAAAACCGAGGTTCCACTGTATTTGGGGTAAAGTTCCAGAATGACCTAAAAATCACAGTTTCTCATTCCATTATCATTAAATTTTATTATTTCAACCTTTCTTTCTAATGTCATAAGCTTCCTAGAACATTTTTTGGTAGATTCATCATGATTTCTAGAACTTCCTTGTAGCAACCATGATTATTAATAAGTTATAAAACATATTCATAAAGCAAGGACTGATTGTACTAAATACTATATAATACTGTATTTGCAAATTTACTGTACATCTTAGCTATGTTATGAGTCTTATAACCAACTTTTATATTTGAGGAATAAGAGTCATAATATTGTGGCTGGAACAATTTATAATTAGCCTACAAATTGAAGATGGGATTTCAGATGACTCTTTGATATATCCTGGAATACTATCACTGAAATGTTGCATAAAGCTTCACCTCTTATTTGTGGGATAAATGTGAATCTTTTGTATTTTATTTTTTTTAGATAAGCAAGTACATACTTCATTAAGTTAACATTTTGATTACAAGTCTCTCTTTCATGTTGATTTTTTTTTTTAACAAATAGTACATATAGTAATTTATTTGATTGTGATCACATATTTATTTATTATGATTTTTTTCCAGGATGGGTTCACCCCATTGGCAGTTGCTCTTCAGCAGGGACACGACAAAGTTGTGGCAGTCTTGCTGGAAAACGACACACGAGGCAAGGTGCGCCTCCCTGCTCTTCACATTGCTGCTAAAAAGGACGACACTAAAGCTGCAGCATTACTTCTTCATACTGACCACAACCCTGATGTCACCTCCAAATCAGGGTTCACACCACTGCACATTGCTGCTCACTATGGCAACGAAAATATTGCTAACCTCTTGATTCAGCGTGGGGCTGATGTCAACTACATAGCTAAGGTTGGTGAGGTTTTGCAGTTTAATGTAGAAGGAAGAGGTGGAGAAACTAGAAGTGTATTAATTTTCAAACTGAATACAATTTAGTGATAAAGTAATAAGTTTTGTAAGTTAGCATAGTTTACATTCTGTGTGAATAATTATTTTCAAATTTCCAAGCAATTTACACGTGACTGTGTTACTATTATTTGAAATTTATTTAAATTATTTGATCAACAGCACCAAATTACACCCCTGCATGTTGCATCCAAGTGGGGTAAAGGAAATATGGTATCGCTGCTGATAGACAAAGGTGCTAACTATGAGGCTAAGACCAGAGATGGGCTGACACCTCTTCACTGTGCTGCAAGATCAGGACACGAGACTGTTGTTGATATGCTGCTAGAAAAGGGTGCACCAATTACGAGTAAGACCAAGGTAAATATTTAGTGCTAATTTTAAAATTGTACATACATATGTATGTAACTTTAAAATTTCTTTTATTGTTTCAACACAGCACTTCCTCTTTTTTTTCAGACTGGGGGATGTCTGAATTATTGTAAACTTTTATTATTATAAATCAGAAATATCTCTTATTCAGAAAAATCTGAGATTTTCCAAAATGAAATTCATTTTTTTTATGATTTAAGAGTGAATTTGATACAGTACAACCATACCACATTGTACACTTCCACTCTGCCTGATATTCTGTTGAACTCAAGCAAAGTAATTTGCCTTTCACCTCCTACTGTACCCTGTTGATATTGTCGTGTGTGTTATCCACCATGGGCCAGGCAGGGATGGGTCTTTTCTATGGGGCTCCTCTAAAGCTGGCTGTCTAGGCTGTTGGCCCATAATGCTTGAGACTAGGTATATTTAGGGTTGGCTCATTGATTTGAGTTGGAAACTAACACTTATTTTTTTGTATAATGTGTTATTACCCCAAAAGCTATTTAAAATTTAATCTCAGTTGAGATGAATACCTAACACCAAAAAAGATTAAAATTAAAATCCACAGTTTTCCTTATATTTTTAACACATAAGAACATAAGAACATAAGAAAGGAGGAACACTGCAGAAGGCCTGTTGGCCCATACTAGGCAGGTCCTTTACAATTCATCCCACTAACAAAACATTTGCCCAACCCAATTTTCAATGCCACCCAAGAAACAAACTCCGATGTGCAAGTCCCACTCAAATCCAACCCCTCCCACTCATGTACTTATCCAACCTGAATTTGAAACTACCCAAAGTCCTAGCCTCAATAACCCAACTAGGTAGACTGTTCCACTCATCAACTACCCTATTTCCAAACCAATACTTTCCTATGTCCTTTCTAAATCTAAACTTATCTAATTTAAATCCATTACTGCGGGTTCTCTCTTGGAGAGATATCCTCAAGACCTTGTTAATATCCCCTTTATTAATACCTATCTTCCACTTATACACTTCGATCAGGTCTCCCCTCATTCTTCGTCTAACAAGTGAATGTAACTTAAGAGTCTTCAATCTTTCTTCATAAGGAAGATTTCTAATGCTATGTATTAATTTAGTCATCCTACGCTGAATGTTTTCTAACGAATTTATGTCCATCTGTAATATGGAGACCAGAATTGAGCTGCATAATCTAGGTGAGGCCTTACTAATGATGTATAAAGCTGCAGTATGACCTCTGGACTTCTGTTGCTTACACTTCTTGATATAAATCCCAGTAATCTATTTGCCTTATTAACGTACGCTTAGGCATTGCTGTCTTGGTTTAAGGTTGCTGCTTACCATAACCCCCAAGTCCTTTTCGCAATCTGTATGGCTAAGTTCTACATTATTTAACTTATAAGTGCTAGGGTTATAGACACTCCCGAGCTTCAGAACCTTGCATTTATCCACATTGAACTGCATCTGCCACTTTTTCTGACCAAGAGTAGAGTTTGTCTAAATCCTCCTGAAGTTCCCTAACATCTACGTTTGAATCAATTATCCTACCTATCTTCGTGTCATCGGCGAATTTGCTCATATCACTAGCAATTCCTTCATCAAGATCATTGATATATATTATAAACAACAACGGGCCCAAGACTGATCCCTGTGGAACGCCACTTGTTACTGATCCCCACTCGGATTTAACCCCATTTATGGACACTCTCTGCTTCCTGTCTGTGAGCCATGACTCGATCCACGAGAGCACCCTCCCCCCAATGCCATGAGCTGCTACTTTCTTCAACAGTCTTTGGTGCGGAACTCTATCAAATGCCTTAAAAAATCTAAGTAAACAATATCAAATTCTTTATCGTGGTCAACAGCCTCAAAAGCTTTACTGAAGAAAGTTAATAAATTAGTTATACAAGACCGGCCTCTTGTGAATCCATGCTGAGTATCATTAATCAAGCTATGCTTATCGAGATGGCTTCTTATAACCTCAGCTATAATTGACTCTAGCAACTTGCCTACAATTGAGGTCAGGCTTTTTGGGCGGTAATTTGACGGTAACGACTTGTCCCCTGTTTTAAAAATAGGAATTACATTAGCCATCTTCCACATATCAGACACTACACCTGTTTGAAGAGATAAATTAAAAATATTATTTAATGGTTCACAGACTTCCATTTTGCATTCCTTAAGAACCCTTAAAAAAAACCTCATCAGGACCCGGGTACTTATTTTGCTTCAGTCGTCTATCTGCTTCACAACCATTTCACTAGTGACTGTGATGTTACATAATTTATCTTCTTCTGATCCACTATAAAAATTAATTACCGGAATATTATTAGTGTCTTCCTGTGTAAAAACCGAGAGAAAATAATTATTTAAAATCGAGCACATTTCATTCTCTTTGTCAGTAAGATGCCCATAGTTATTTTTAAGGGGACCTATCTTATCTCTGACTTTTGTTCTATATACCTGGAAAAAACTTTTTGGATTAGTTTTAGAATCCCTAGCAACTTTAATTTCATAGTCCCTTTTAGCTTTTCTTATCCCCTTTTTAATGTCCCTGGTTGTCTCCCACCAAGGTAGGGTTATCCAAAAAATGAAACTTATCCATTGTTATTCACTCAATTGAGTGCAGGCATTGTACGTTTCGGTTTCCCTGAATTCTTTCGTAAATATTACCTTGTTTATACTTTAACAGCACATCAAATCAAGAAAAACCACTTGCCTCCACACACTCCTATCTAATGGGTTTACACAAGCCTATTGGATGTTCAAGCCCCTAGCACTCATAACCTCCTTTAGTCCTCCCTCAAACCATTCCTGGGATGATAACTACCCTTCCTTCTCTCTGCCCCATATTTATATACCCTCTTAATTATCCTAATTTGCTTTATCTTCTCTAAATACCCAAATCACCTCAACAACCCTCCTCTGTCCTCTGAATTATACCTTCAGTAACCCCATAACTTCTTATCTCCACTTTACAAATTCTCTGCATAATATTCACACCCCACATCACCCTCAAACAAGACATTACCACTGTCCCCAGCCTCCTCTTCCTCCTCCTCACTGCAGTTATATTGACTAAAATAAATGTACACAATTACAAGATTTGTAAATTTCAACATACTCCAAGTCATGAGGATATTGGTTTTTGGTGCTAAACTAATAATAAAATTTAAAATCCTAATAGATAATTAAAGCATTATCTAGTATTTTCTTTCATAATTTTGTGGTGAAGTGTACTGAAGTTCATTGTTTATGCCTCTTTCTAATAGTTTTAGAATTTATGCACATTTGTACAAATAGTGCACACTTGTAAAGATAATTTACATATTGTAAACTATTGCTTCGGGTGGCATTTTTAACATATTTTATACCTGAAAGAGCATTTATTTATGTTTAACATTATTTGAAAGGGCAAGCTTAAGCTCAACAGATTTAACCCTTAGACTGTTTCGGTCGTATATATACGTCTTACAAGCCACCATGTTTGACATATAGTATATACTCATAAATTCTAGCGGCTTAAAATCAAGCAGGAGAAAGCTGGTAGGCCCACATGTGAGAGAATGGGTCTGTGTGGTTAGTGTGCACCATATAAAAAAATCCTGCAGCACTCAGTGCATAATGAGAAAAAAAAAACTCCGATCGTTTTTTTTTTTTAATTAAAATGCTGACTTTGTGATGTATTTTCATGTAGTATTTATGGTTGTATTCTCGTTTTCTTGGTCTCATTTGATAGAATGGAAAACATATTATAGAAATAAAGACGATTTTGATTGGTTTTACTATGAAAAGAACCTTGAAATGGAGCTCAAAGTAGGGGAAATGTTTGATTTTTGCCGATGTTCAAAAGTAAAACAAAAATGTCATTGTCCCCAAAAAAATGTTTAACTAGCCATTCTATATGCAGTCTTGACATTATTTATACAATTATTACAATATTGCAGTAGTCTGCATAACAGTAAATCTATTTTTTGTTTGAATAAAAATTCAAAATAGAAAGCAAGAGTAATATCAGAGGGGCCTGGAGACGTGACTGATGAACAGAGAAAATGTTATTTTAGAGCCAGGAATGTCTGCATTGTTCATTCTGGACCCTATTTTGAAATTAGCATATTTTTTAAATTTTCGTGAAATTGGCCAAATTGCAAATTTCTGACCACGTTATTGGGTAGTTGAAATTGGTAAATGGGCAGTTTCTTGTACTCGATCGATAGAAAAATGGAGTTCTAAAGAAATAGCTACGAGTGTGGTCAACTGGAACAATGGAATTAGCCGAAAATAGGGCTCAAAGTGGGCGAAATAGCCGATTTGTAAATATCACTAACTTCACGAGAGCGTAATTCCGTAAGTTTTCCATCAAATTTTATTTTTTTGGTGTCATTACCATCGGGAAAAGATTCTCTATCATTTCATAAGATTTTTTTTTTCAATAAATTTTCGACACTAGAAGACATCTCAGGATTTGGGGTTTCGACAATCAAGGGGTTAGATGCTCTACATTGTACAGACTATAAATAATGTGTATAAATTTATGGAATTGTGAAAGCTTATTAAATATTTCTGTAAACAGATATAACTTTTCTCTTTATTTTCATAGATAAATTGGAGAGAATACTTCACATTTATAAATGCATGTTTAAAAATTTGAGTAAAATGTTAGTGATATTTAATGAGTAGAACTTTTGTTGGTCAGATTGTGTTTATAATTTGAAATATGTAAATGAGATGCATAATATTGTTGATTATAATTGGATATTGTTGTTCTTTGCAGAATGGGTTGGCTCCTCTTCACATGTCTTCACAGGGTGACCATGTTGATGCTGCACGCATCCTTCTTTACCATAAAGCTCCTGTTGATGATGTTACAGTAGATTTTCTTACTGCTCTTCATGTTGCTGGTAAAGACTGTTTTTTGGTAAAGTTTAATGTTTAATATTTGCAGGCTTTGTCTGCAGCATATTGATTACTAAATATATTAGATAGTGTGTTTGTTTAAGGATCATTATTCATATGTGTAGATTCACCAAGAGATGGGAGTTTATATGGCTGGAACAGATATGTTAGACATAGGATTGTTTATACTGTTTGGTTTTTCAGGCAGTATCATTTTAGTATAAACTATTTTGTAAACTTTTTTAATACAGTGGAAATAAATATAAAAAAATTTAATTTCATTAGGTGCACATGTTTACACACTCTTCTCTTCTCATGGCTGTTATGATAATAACACTGGCAGTTGTTGTTTCACTTTATCTGGTTATTTGGCATCATAAAGGACATATTTCTTGAGCATTTTGATTTGAAACTCTTTAATTATTTGTATAGTGATTTAAATATCTATTTCAAGGGAAGCTTCTGATTCATGCATTTTTTCTGACAGTGGTGAAAATTTTGCATTTCTTTCTCTCAGTTATTGATTCTTGTCTCTTCATTTTTTATTGTTTTCCCTTGATTTTTATGAATATCTGCAGTTCATCTTTGGTGCTTCACTCATTGGGTCATCCTAAGAATGGTGGAATCTGTATTGAGCCTATTCTCACCATTGTGTAATGTTTGTTGTCTTTAGTTGGTGCTTGAGTTGGCAGATCTTGAATTCTTTGGTGAGTCTTCATTGCTGATATTGGCTGAGTATGAGGCTTTAGGTAATGATGCATAATACAGAGATAAGAGAGCAAGAGACATTTTAAGTTTGGTAGTTTCACATTGGTGGCATATATTGTGGCAGCAAGTGTATTCATCTATAGTGGTGATGAGCACACCTACTTTCATTGTTCTTTGATTGGTTTTAATTTTTTTTTTTAGTTTTCTACATGCCAGTCTGCTGCTTTTTCTGGTATGGCTATTTCGTTCAGAGTGCACACCTTCTATGCACTTGTAACTGGTTTTGGGCTTTGGGACTGAGAAACTGAAGAGTGTATGGAGTTCTTGGAGTAAAATAGGTTTCAGAAAGTTGGGGAAAGAGAGCTGTATAAGCCCAAGTGAGTGTAATTAAAAAACTGGCGATATGCATGAAATGGAGGGGAAAGAATGTTTTAATTAATTTTTTTTTTTTTTTTTCAACAAGTCGATCGTCTCCCACCGAGGCAGGGTGACCCAAAAAAGAAAGAAAATCCCCAAAAAGAAAATACTTTCATCATCATTCAACACTTTCACCACACTCACACATTATCACTGCTTTTGCAGAGGTGCTCAGAATACAACAGCTTAGAAGCATATATGTATAAAGATACACAACATATCCCTCCAAACTGCCAATATCCCAAACCCCTCCTTTAAAGTGCAGGCATTGTACTTCCCATTTCCAGGACTCAAGTCCGACTATATGAAAATAACCGGTTTCCCTGAATCCCTTCACTAAATATTACCCTGCTCACACTCCAACAGATCGTCAGGTCCCAAGTATCATTCGTCTCCATTCACTCCTATCTAACACGCTCATGCACGCTTGCTGGAAGTCCAAACCCCTCACCCACAACACCTCCTTTACCCCCTCTTTCCAACCTTTCGAGGACGACCCCTACCCCTCTTTCCTTCCCCTATAGATTTATATGCTTTCCATGTCATTCTACTTTGATCCATTCTCTCTAAATGACCAAACCACCTCAACAACCCCTCTTCTGCCCTCTGACTAATGCTTTTATTAACTCCTAATTTCCACACTCCGAATTTTCTGCATAATATTTACACCACACATTGCCCTTAGACAGGACATCTCCACTGCCTCCAACCGTCTCCTCGCTGCTGCATTTACCACCCGAGCTTCACATCCATATAAGAGTGTTGGTACTACTATACTTTCATACATTCCCTTCTTTGCCTCCATAGATAACGTTTTTTGACTCCACATATACCTCAACGCACCACTCACCTTTTTTCCCTCATCAATTCTATGATTAACCTCATCCTTCATAAATCCATCCGCCGACACTTCAACTCCCAAGTATCTGAAAACATTCACTTCTTCCATACTCCTCCTCCCCAATTTGATATCTAATTTTTCTTTATCTAAATTTGATACCCTCATCACCTTACTCTTTTCTATGTTCACTTTCAACTTTCTACCTTCACACACATTCTCAAACTCATCCACTAACCTTTGCAATTTTTCTTTAGAATCTCCCATAAGCACAGTATCATCAGCAAAAAGTAACTGTGTCAATTCCCATTTTGAATTCGATTCCCCATAATTTAATCCCACCCCTCTCCCGAACACCCTAGCAATTACTTCTTTTACAACCCCATCTATAAATATATTAAACAACCATGGTGACATTACACATCCCTGTCTAAGACCTACTTTTCCTTGGAAGCATTCTCCCTCTCTTCTACATACCCTAACCTGAGCCTCACTATCCTCATAAAAGCTCTTTACAGCATTTAGTAACTTACCACCTATTCCATATACTTGCAACATCTGCCACATTGCTCCTCTATCCACTCTATCATATGCCTTTTCTAAATCCATAAATGCAATAAAAACTTCCCTACCTTTATCTAAATACTGTTCACATATATGCTTCAATGTAAACACTTGATCTACACATCCCCTACCCACTCTGAAGCCTCCTTGCTCATCCGCAATTCTAAATTCTGTCTTACCTCTAATTCTTTCAATTATAACCCTACCGTATACTTTTCCTGGTATACTCAGTAAACTTATTCCTCTATAATTTTTACAATCTCTTCTGTCCACTTTCCCTTTATATAAAGGGACTATACATGCTCTCCGCCAATCCCTAGGTACCTTCCCCTCTTTCATACATTTATTAAACAAAAGTACCAACCACTCCAACACTATATTCCCCCCTGCTTTTAACATTTCTGTCATGATCCCATCAGTTCCAGCTGCTTTACCCCCTTTCATTCTATGTAATGCCTCACGTACCTTCACCACACTTACATTCTGCTCTTCTTCACTCCTAAAAGATGGTATACCTCCCTGGCCAGTGCATGAAATTACCGCCTCCCTTTCTTCCTCAACATTTAAAAGTTCCTCAAAATATTCTCGCCATCTACCTAATACCTCCCTCTCCCCATCTACTAACTCCCCTACTCTGTTTTTAACTGACAAATCCATACTTTCCCTAGGCTTTCTTAACTTGTTTAACTCACTCCAAAATTTTTTCTTATTTTCATTAAAATTTCTTGACAGTGCCTCTCCCACTCTTTCATCTGCTCTCCTTTTGCACTCTCTCACCACTCTCTTCACCTTTCTTTTACTCTCCATATACTCTGCTCTTCTTATAACACTTCTGCTTTGTAAAAACCTCTCATAAGCTACCTTTTTCTCTTTTATCACACCCTTTACTTCATCATTCCACCAATCACTCCTCTTTCCTCCTGCCCCACCCTCCTATAACCACAAACTTCTGCCCCACATTCTAATACTGCATTTTTAAAACTATTCCAACCCTCTTCAAACCCCCCCACTACTCATCTCTCCCACTAGCCCACCTTTCTGCCAATAGTCGCTTATATCTCGCCCGAACTTCCTCCTCCCTTAGTTTATACACTTTCACCTCCCTCTTACTTGTTGTTGCCACCTTCCTCTTTTCCCATCTACCTCTTACTCTAACTGTAGCTACAACTAAATAATGATCCGATATATCAGTTGCCCCTCTATAAACATGTACATCTTGGAGCCTACCCATCAACCTTTTATCCACCAATATATAATCTAACAAACTACTTTCATTACGTGCTACATCATAGCTTGTATATTTATTTATCCTCTTTTTCATAAAATATGTATTACTTATTACCAAATTTCTTTCTACACATAGCTCAATTAAAGGCTCCCCATTTACATTTACCCCTGGCACCCCAAATTTACCTACTACTCCCTCCATAACATTTTTACCCACTTTAGCATTGAAATCCCCAACCACCATTACTCTCACACTTGATTCAAAACTCCCCATGCATTCACTCAACATGTCCCTTTTTAAAGATAGTTTATTCCAGTAATTCAGTATATAGTTGTTTATTTCATGACTTCATAATTTCTTTCAGCTCACTGTGGACATGTGCGAGTGGCAAAATTGCTACTTGATCGTAAAGCAGATCCAAATTCTCGTGCTCTTAATGGTTTCACACCTCTGCATATTGCATGTAAGAAGAACCGTATTAAGGTGGTGGAATTGCTTCTCAAACACGGTGCTAGCATTGAGGCTACTACAGAGGTAACTATATTTCTTCTTTTTTTTTTTTTTTTTTTTAAATCGTACTATATTTTCTATATGCTGTATATACTGAGTGAATGGAAATAAGTGACTTTTAACAGATGTGCTGTTTGAGTTTGAATGAGATCAAATTTTTGAAATGATTTGGGAAAAAATGGTTAGCCAGACTTGAGTCCTGGAGGTGGAAAGGGCATGTTTCACTCTGAAGGAGGGATGGAATATTGCAGTCAGGGTAATCTGAATTGTAAGTGCAGCATTCTTCTGGCATAACAGCAATTGAATAAACAATTGAGAATGTATGTTATTGTATTGAATGTCACCTAATGTAAAAAACTGTACCTGTAAACTTACTTCACTGAACTTAACCTAACTAATTTTTCTTATTGTCATGTACCATACTATGCTTTTATGTACTTGTATATACATCTGTATCTTATTCAGTGAATTAATTTTATGTGTACATCGTTTATGTCTTTATATACATATATGTAAAATGTTTATTGTCCTATTAGTTTTAAGCTTGGTTTATGCTTTCCCCAAATTCTCTGCATAACCAGGGGCTTTCTGTGTGCTGTATTAAATGTCGTCCATTTTTGTACAAACGGTGTATCACATGGAAATAATGAATTTGAATTTAAATTTCTTTGGATCACCCTGCCTTGACAGGAGAAAGCCATTCAGGTAAAAAAAAAAAGTTTTCTTTTTTTACCTCAGTGGCCATCTCCCACTATGGCAGTGTGACTCAGAGAAGGAAACACATTCACCATCCTTCATTCAGTCACTGTCTTGCTAATCACCCTTGAACTGAAACATCACCCTTTCTTCAGTGCAGGCACTGCCCTTTGCACCTCTATGACTTTATTCAGCTGATTGGTTTTCCTGAATCCCTTCATAAATGTTATCTTCCTCACACTCAAACAGAACACTCATTAATGTTATCTTCCTCACACTCAAATAGAACACTCATTAATATTAACTTGCTAACACTCCAACTGTACATCAAGTCATAACAACCATATGTTTTTTCTCATTCCAATCTAATTTATGCAGTATATTAACTGCAGTACTCTATCTCTAAAGTGAGACTTATCAGTTTATCAGTTCTTGCTTATTTGGGAATAACATAAATTATCAGTTTTTAATGATGTCATGTGCCCAGTTCTTGTGTTGTAGATGAGAGCTGTTTCCATTAAAAACAGTCTTAGGAAAAACAGGCAAGAAATTCTCCAAAATATTATATTACTTTTCTTCATTTTGAATTACTTCATTATGAAAAGCTATTACTGTGTGATTTGATGAACCACTTAGGAATAAAAAATCATTGAGAAATCTACTCATATATGCAGTTCTGTACCAGTATTTAGGATCTTGTTATTCACTTTTAGCTCAGTTTGTACCTGATCCCACATTCCTGTTGAAGGTTTATAAATAATGAGTGCTTCCTAAAGATTTACCATTTGGTTAGTTATCATTGAGGCACTCTTATCATCTTCTTATACATCTTTTTCGAATACTTCCCTTTTCCCATTTCTCCTTTTTTTCCTCAGTGTCCCTTGCTTCTCTCATCCTCATCTTGAAGAAGTTAGAGTGACTTGTGAAATTGTAATGGAACAATTGTAAAGAACTCACTAAATGTGGGGTTTACTCCATGGCAAGCCTTCCTATAGTGTATAGACACACGCATAATTGGGCAAATATTATTAAGCCATCATGGTACAGTAGACTGTGCACTGACCTGTTAGTTTTGGGACTGACTTTCTGTGAGTTTAAGCCATTCATTCAGTGAGACGAGAACGTTAATTTGATTTTACTTGAAAATAATTCTTTTATTTTTCTTCCTTTTTAATACAGTCAGGTTTGACCCCTCTTCATGTAGCATCCTTTATGGGCTGCATGAACATTGTGATCTACCTTATTCAACATGGAGCCTCTGCTGATGTGCCTACTGTGAGAGGAGAGACACCACTACACCTGGCTGCCAGAGCAAACCAGACAGACATCATCCGCATCCTCTTAAGAAATGGTGCTCAAGTGGATGCTAGAGCTAGAGTAAGTATTTTTCTCCAGCTTAAATACTCTTATGATTTTATGTTCAGCAGATGCATATAAAAATAGTTTATAAGGTGTATATGTGCTGTAACTATATCTTTAGACCAACATCAAAATGGTATACAATACCGACAGGTTGGTAGGTAAGATACATAGGCAACAGTTAGGCAACTTTATTCCGAAACATTTCACCTATACAGTAGGCTTCTTCAGTCGAATACAGAAAGTAGGCAGGAACAGTAGAGATGTGAAGACGATGTAATCAGTCCATCACCCTTGAAGTCATAGAAATTGAGGTTGTCAGTCCCTCAGCCTGGAGAAGTTCAGTTCCATAGACAGTTCCTGACTATGGAACTGAACTTCTCCAGGCTGAGGGACTGACAACCTCAAATTCTACGACTTCAAGGGTGATGGACTGATTACATCGTCTTCACATCTCTATTGTTCCTGCCTACTTTCTGTATTCGACTGAAGAAGCCTACTGTGTAGGCGAAACGTTTCGGAATAAAGTTGCCTAACTGTTGCCTATGTGTCTTACCTACCATCTTTAGACCACTTGACCCTTTCCTGAGATACCAGAAAGGGTAACTTCACTGACATTCCTACTTTTACTCCCATAATATATCATATATGGAAATGTTTTACTGGTTAATAATAACACAAAGTTTTACATTTTCTCTCTTTGAGTGTGTGTGTGTGTGTGTGTGTGTGTGTGTGTGTGTGTGTGTGTGTGTGTGTGTGTGTAGGTAGTTATACCAGTTGTTTTTTATGTTAACCAGGAACAGCAAACTGCCTTGCATATTGCTTCTCGCCTTGGCAACAGTGATATTGTAGTGTTGCTACTGCAACATGGAGCTGCAGTTGATGCTACTACTAAGGACCATTACACTGCATTACATATTGCTGCCAAGGAAGGCCAAGAGGAAGTGGCTAGTGTCCTACTAGAACATGGTGCTTCCCTTGCTTCAACAACAAAGAAAGGATTTACACCTCTACACTTGGCAGCAAAATATGGTAACATGAAGGTTGCTCGACTGCTGCTTCAGAAGGATGCCCCTGTTGATGCTCAGGGCAAAAATGGTGTTACCCCACTTCACGTTGCAGCTCATTATGACCACCAGGTAAGTAATAATTTAATGGCATTCTTTGTCAGTTTTAACCTTAAGTGTCTCTTTGTATGATAATTCAGAGACACTTTCTGCACTTCATCCAATGTAGGGTTTATCAAGTAGTAAAAACACACATAATTAAATGTAGCCCTGGGCAAAATATTGTAGCAGTGATAGATTTCCCTGCAACATAGTGTTTTTTTCCTCCACTTTATTAAGCCCCACCATGGGTGAAATGTATAGTTTCTTTCTGCTTTAAGTGTCTTTGAATTACCGCTTGTCAGTGTGTGTCATTGTCTACATACCTGTCTCTGTGTGTGTGTCTTCATTCCTGTTCATGTATCCTTTACCTGTATCTTACTGGAAACCAAGTGTAGAGAAATCACACATAATAATTGAGATCAGCACCCATTTTAAGCAAACTTCTATCCTGAAGTTCAATATTGAACTTTTTGTTTTGCCTGCCACATTGGTCTTTTTTCACCAAGGGAAGGTAACCTGAAAAAACACTTTTCACCATCACTAAAAGAAATCACCACTCAAGAATTATGCTTAACCCTTTCAGGATCCACACTCCTAATCTGAAACGTGTCCACAGAGTCCAAGAAATTTAAAAAAAAAATTTGGTATTTTTTCTTATGAAATGGTAGAGGATCTTTTTCTAAAGGCAATAAAATGAAAAGTACGAAATTTGATGGAAAATTGACGAAATTGCTCTCTCGTGAATTTTGCTGTGTCAGTGATATTTACTCATTGGCAATCTTGCTCACTTTGCCTCCCATTTTAGGCCAATTACATTATTCCAGTCAATCAAATTCTTAGTTTTTTTGCTAGTATTAAGTCTATTTTATTGACTGCGCACAAGAAATCGCCCAGTCAACTGTTTCAACCTCCCAATAAAGTGATCGGAAATTGGTAATTTGGCCAATTTCACACAGTTTAAAATATTCCAGTTTCAAACTAGGGTCCAGAATGAACAATTCAGGCATTCCTGGCACTAAAATAGCATTTTTTTGTTTATTAGTTATGTTTCCATGCTTTGCAGATGAATTCCATTTTTATTTTTTATTCACATAATGAATTTTTATTCACACCAAAAAATAGAAGATTTAATGTTATGCAATATTGTAATAATTATATAAATAATATCAGCACATTTGTGAAGGCACATTAGACACACCAGCTAACCTGTATCGGATGTGTGACGTCATTTGTTTACTCTTGAACATCGGCAAAAATCGAACACTTCTGCTACTTTGAGCTCAGTTTCAAGCTATTTTCAGTACTAAAACCAATCAAAATCATCTCTCTTTCCATAATATATCTTCCATTCCATCAAATGAGACCAAGAAACAATGACTACAACTGTAAAAAAATGCAAAAAAACACCACAAAGTCACTGTTTTAATCCAAAATACGGTCGCAGTTTTTTTTTTATCATGCACTGCATGCTGCAGGATTTGTCTTATATGGTAGACATTTACCACATAGACGTATTCTCTCATATCTAGGCCCAAATTTACCACTCAGTTTATCTGAGTGAGCTGAGCATAGCGTAGAACTATGTCTTGGACCCTGGCTTCAAAGCTGTAGAACTACGGGACGGACCCTCATAGGGTTAAAGAACTTGAGTTGGACACTGAGAAGCAGTATCTCGTTGAAACATTTTCATTAATTATTCTTATTATTTCTTACGGCTTCACATCAAGGATGTTTAATTTTGTTGCAACTATTTAACCTTGTCTTAAGTGGGGCTATGTGAGATGAGAATAATGTATGACTAAACTATTGTGAAATTTGTTGATAGATACAACTATTGTGGAACGTACAGGTACTGTTTAAATGCTTAGTTTTATTTGCTGAGTCTGGGGAACTGAGTAAGATTGTGTAAGTTTTGAGGATGTGTAATAATAGAAGTAGAGTAAATGGTAAGTAGATAATGAAAATTCTTAAATGAGACCACAGGTGTAATGTAACAACAATTTGAATGAAAAAGCTGGAAGCTGCAGATAGGTTTAACCCATAAACGGTCCAAACATATATACGTATACGTTTTTTCAACATTTGAAAGTAGTATGTAAAAAAAGTAGATCTTTTTTTTTTTTTTACATTTGAAAACGTGTAAAAAACTTTGATCTACTTTTTTTGTTATATTTGAAAATATGTAAAAAAAACGTAGATCTACTTTTGGAGCACTACACATATGAATGTAGATCTGCTTGGACCGTTTACGGGTTAAATACCATGAGATATTAGTAAAGATAGTAGTAAAATAAACAGAAGTTAAAAGCAGAGTTGGTCTGTGGAGAAGAGCAAGAGGTACCTCAAGGACTTGGGTGAATGGGGCACTGTAAAGTGAGGAAGACTTTGTTTGAATTATTAACCCAGGATAACCCAAGAAAGTCAATTAATTTAATGTAACTTTCATTGGGGCTTCTTGGTCCTCTTTCCCAGAATGCAGCTCACAACCATTTGATATATCAGTATTGTCAGTTGAAACTTTCCACCATCCAAGATTTGCCTTTTGGAAAATGACAGCCTTGAATTGACTACTCCTTACATAAATTGTTTTTTTTTTTTTTTTTTTAAACTGTACCTATTTTTTAATAGCAGTCTAGGTTTGAGGCAGCCTCTGCCTGCACCTACCTATGACATGATCACTGACTGTAATCACCATGGCTGGGTGGAAGAATTTCAGTTGTTTATGGGATTAAAGATTTTCCCTTAACTGTTATATTCAGTGTTTCAGGTTATCCTGTATTTCATTAACTAAATGTGAGTTAACCTGTTTGTTTGGGCTTTACCCTCCCATTGTGGCTCCAGTAGGTGCTTATCAGATAACTTATAACCCAACCTAAATGGAATGCTACTGCTTCTTTACAAAATGAATTCAGATGTTATGAGATTTACCTGATTTTTTTTTCATAGTTATAGCTATATGTATGGTACTTATATGATGACATTTTGCACCCCTGATTAACAGCTAATACCTTCATAAATAAAGTATTGTAATTTTACACTGCTTCCAAACCTTTGGTAATTTTAAATATGCGGTTTTATTTATTGGATTCATAACGATTTACCTTTTGTCTTCAGAATGTGGCATTGCTACTGTTGGATAAAGGTGCCTCTCCTCATGCAACAGCAAAGAATGGATACACCCCTCTTCACATTGCTGCTCGTAAAAACCAAATGGATATCGCTACAACCCTTCTCGAGTATGGAGCTAGTTCCAATGCAGAATCCAAGGCAGGATTCACACCTCTTCATCTGAGCTCACAGGTAGAAGCCCTCAAATGTTAATGGGTTTTATTTATTGCAAAGAAGCATGATATGAGTGATTGTCTTCAGGTTCCCCCTCCCCCCATGGAAGTACTAACGTAAGAATATAAGAACATAAGAAAGGAGGAACACTGCAGCAGGCCTACTGGCCCATGAGAGGCAGGTCCAATTCTCCTACCAGTTTAAGCCAACGTTCTAACCTAGTCAGGTCAGGTCACATTCACTTAAGGAAGGAGCATGACATCTGACCTAGTAACACAAGCTAGTCAGGTCCAACTCTCACCCACCCACACCCACTCATGTATATATCTAACCTATTTTTAAAACTACACAACGTCTTAGCTTCTATGACGGTACTTGGGAGTTTGTTCCACTCATCCACAACTCTGTTACCAAACTAGTGCTTTCCTATATCCTTCCTGAATATGAACTTTTCCAACTTAAAACCATTGCTGTGAGTCCTGTCTAAGTTAGATATTTTAAGCATGCTATTTACATCCCCTTTATTTATTCCTGTTTTCCATTTATACACCTCAGCCATTTTTTTTTTTTAACAAGTTGGCTGTCTCCCACCGAGGTAGTGTGACCCAAAAAGAAAATACTTTCATCATCATTCAACACTTTCACCTCACTCATATATAATCACTGTTTTTGCAGAGGTGCTCAGAATACAACAGTTTAGAAGCATATACGTATAAAGATACACAACATATCCCTCCAAACTGCCAATATCCCAGACCCCTTTAAAGTGCAGGCATTGTACTTCCCATTTCCAGTACTCAAATCCGGCTATATAAAAATAACTGGTTTCCCTGAATCCCTTCACTAAGTATTACCCTGCTCACACTCCAACAGCTTGTCCCAAATACCATTCGTCTCCATTCACTCCTCTCTAACAGGTTCACGCATGCTTGCTGGAAGTCCAAGCCCTTCACCTACAAAACCTCCTTTACCCCCTCCCTCCAACCTTTTCGAGGCCGACCCCTACCCCTCCTTCCTTCCCCTACAGATTTGTACGCTCTCCATGTCATTCTACTGTGATCCATTCTCTCTAAATGACCAAACCACCTCAACATCCCCTCTTCAGCCCTCTGACTAATACTTTTATTAACTCCACATCTTCTCCTAATTTCCACACTCTGAATTCTCTTCATAATATTTACACCACACATTGCCCTTAGACAGCACATCTCCACTGCCTCCAACCACCTCCTCGCTGCAGTATTTACAACCTAAGCTTCACACCCATATAAGAGTGTTGGTACCACTATACTTTCATACATTCCCTTCTTTGCATCCATAGATAATGTTTTTTGTCTCCATATATACCTCAATGCACCACTCACCTTTTTTCCTTCATCAGTTCTATGGTTAACCTCATCCTTCATACACCCATCTGCTGACATGTCAACTCCCAAATATCTGAAAACATTCACTTCTTCCATACTCCTCCTCTCCAGTTTGATATCCAATTTTTCTTTATCTAAATCATTTGATACCCTCATCACTTTACTCTTTTCTATGTTCACTTTCAACTTTCTACCTTTACACACAGGTAGTAGGTTGTAGACAGGAACCACCCAGGGAGGTACTGTCGTCCTGCCAAGTGAGTGTAAAACAAGAGCCTGTAATTGTTTTACATGATGGTAGGATTGCTGGTGTCTTTTGTCCATCTCATAAATATGCAAGATTACAGGTACGTCTTGCTACTTCTACTTACACTTAGGTCACACTACACATACGTGTACATGTTTGTTTATACACACTTATCTGAGTTTTCTTTGATTTTATCTTAATAGTTCTTATTCTTATTATTTTTCCTTTCATATCATGGGGAAGTGGAATAAGAATCTTTCCTCCGTAAGCCATGCGTGTTGTAAAAGTCAACTAAAATGCTGGGAGCAATGGGCTAGTAACCCCTTTTTCTGTAAATATTACTAAAAAGAAGAAGAAAATACCTCAGTCATATCCCCCCTAATTCTTCGCCTTTCTAGAGTGTTCAAATTCAGAGCCCTCAGTCTATCCTCATAGGGAAGATTTCTGATACATAGGATCAACTTTGTCATCCTCTTTTGTATATTTTCCAGTGCATTTATATCCGTTCTGTTATACGGTGATAAGAACTGTGCAGCATAATCTAAATAAGGCCTAATCAAAGATATATGGAGTTGAAGAACAACCTGAGGACTTCTATTATTTATACTTCTTAATATGAAGCCAAGGATTCTGTTAGCTTGATTGTGAACACTTATGCACTGTTGTTTTGGTTTCAGATTGCTGCTAACCAGAACTCCTAAACCCTTTTCCCAGTCAGTAATATTAAGATCTACATTATTTAGTTTATATGTGGCATGGTTATTTTCCTGTCCGACATTTAAAACTTTGCATTTGTCTATATTAAATTCCATCTGCCACTTCTCTGACCATTGCATCAGTCTATTCAAATCATCCTGGAGTGCTCTAATGTCCTCATTAGAATGATTTGGATGGCCTATTTTGGTGTCATCAGCAAATTTGCTCGTGTTGCTATTTATTCCCTCATCTATGTTGTTTATGTAAATTGTGAACAACAAGGGGCCCAACGCTGACCCCTGTGGAACACTGCTTGTGACGTGCCCCCATTCTGATTTCTCCCCGTTTATGCAAACTCTCTGCTGCCTATTTGCCCCTTCCCATTAAAAAATTTCTCCTATTCTGTGTGCCTTAAGTTTCCTCAATAGCCTCTGATGTGGAACTCTATTGAAAGCCTTACTGAAGTCCATATACACAATATTATCTTCAATACCATGATCTTCCTCCTCAAATACCTTTGAAAATACCTTTGAAGAGTTTCGAGAGTTAATCTACTCTCTGAGCCCGGCCATGGGCCAGGTTCATCTGGTGCTTGCCTGGTCAACCAGGCTGTTGCTGCTGGAGGCCCGCTGCTCCACATATCCATCACAGCCTGGTTGATCTGGCATCTGGTGAAGATACTTGTTCAATTTCCTCTTGAAGGCTTTTATGCTTGTTCCAGCCATGTTTCTGATATCTTTTGGTAAGATGTTGAATAGTCTGGGACACTGGATGTTGATACAGTGTTCCCTTATTGTCCCCACTGCACCCCTACTCCTCATTGGGTTTATTTTACACTTCCTTCCATATCTCTCTCTCCAGTATGTTGTTATGGCAGTGTGCAGATTTGGGACCAGGCCCTCGAGTATTTTTCAGGTACTTTTTTTTTTTTATTTATTTATTTATTTATTTTTTTTTAACAAGTTGACCATCTCCCACCGAAGCAGGGTGACCCAAAAAGAAAATACTTTCATCATTCAACACTTTCACCTCACTCACACATAAACACTGTTTTTGCAGAGGTGCTCAGAACACAACAGCTTAGAATCATATACGTATAAAGATACACAACATATCCCTCCAAACTGCCAATATTCCGAACCCCTCCTTTAGAGTGCAGGCACTGTACTTCATCATTCCACCAATCACTCCTCTTTCCTTCTATAACCACAAACTTCTGCCCCACACTCTAATACTGCATTTTTAAAACTATTCAACTATTCTTCAACCCCCCCCCCCACCCACCCACCACTACTCATACTTGCACCAGTCCACCTTTCTGCCAATAGTTGCTTATATCTCACTCGAACTTCCTCCTCCCTTAGTTTATATACTTTCACCTTCCTCTTACTTGTTGTTGCCATTTTCCTCTTTTCCCATCTACCTCTTACTCTAACTGTAGCTACAACTAGATAATGATCCGATATATCAGTTGCCCCTCTATAAACGTGTACATCCTGGAGCCTACCCACCAACCTTTTATCCACCAGTACATAATCTAACAAACTACTTTCATTATGTGCTATATCATACCTTGTATATTTATTTATCCTCTTCTTCATAAAATATGTATTACTTATTACCAAACCTCTTTCTAACATAGCTCAATTAAAGGCTCCCCATTTTCATTTACCCCTGGCACCCCAAATTTACCTACTACCCCCTCCACAACATTTTTGCCCACTTTAGCATTGAAATCCCCAACCACCATTACTCTCACACTTGGTTCAAAACTCCCCATGCATTCACTCAACATTTTGCAAAATATCTCTCTCCTCTACACGTCTCTTTCCTCCAGGTGCATATACGCTTACTGTAACCCACTTTTCACATCCAACCTTTATTTTACTCCACATAATCCTTGAATTAATACATTTATAGTCCCTCTTTTCCTGCCATAACTTATCCTTCAACATTATTGCTACTCCTTCTTTAGCTCTAACTCTATTTGAAACCCCTGACCTAATCCCATTTATTCCTCTCCACTGAAACTCACCCACCCACTTCAGCTTTGTTTCACATAAAGCCAGGACATCCAGATTCTTCTCATTCATAACATTTACAATCATCTCTTTATTATCATTTGCACAACATCCACGCACATTCAGACTTCCCACTTTGACAATTTTCTTATTGTTATTCTTTTTAGTAATTATTACAGGAATAGGGGTTACTAGCCCATTGTTCCCGGCATTTTAGTTGACTTTTACAACGCGCATGGCTTACGTAGGAAAGATTCTTATTCCACTTCCCCATGGATATAAAAGGAAAAGTAATAAGACCAAGAACTATTAAGATAAAATCAAAGAAAACTCAGATGAGTGTGTATAAAAAAACATGCACATGTATGTGTAGTGTGACCTAAGTGTAAGTAGAAGTAGCAAGACATACCTGTAATCTTGCATGTAAAACAATTACAGGCTTTCGTTTCACGCTCACTTGGCAGGGCGGTAGTACCTCCCTGGGTGGTTGCTGTCTAGCAACCTACTACCTACCAGGTATATACAGTTGACCCCCGCATAACGATCACCTCCGAATGCAACAATTATGTAAGTGTATTTATGTAAGTGCGTTTGTACGTGTATGTTTGGGGCTCTGAAATGGACTAATCTACTTCACAATATTCCTTATGGGAACAAATTCGGTCAGTACTGGCACCTGAACATACT